GGCGCGGCTCGCTGCGACGCAGGCCGCGGGCCCCGAGGGGGCCCGCGCGCAACGCCAGCGTGCCCTCCGTAGCCCCCGCGCGGGGCTGAATGCAGCCGCCCCCGCCGCGGGACCCGCCGCCAGCACGCCAGCCGCCCCCGCCGCGGGGCCCGCCGCCTGCAGCCGCGCACAGGCGGCCGCGCCCGCCGAAGGGCCCGCCGCCGAGCCACTTGGTAAGAGCTCACACAGCACATAAGCATCGTCCGCAGGGGGCACCGCCACGGGGAGGACTGTCCGAACAGGGAGCACCAGGGCCTGCACCACCGGCAGCACAACTACCACCACCGGCAGCAGCACTGCCAGGGCCTGCGCAACTACCACCACCGGCAGCAGCACTACCAGCGCCTGCACGACTACCACCACCGGCAGCAGCGCTACCTGCACCGCCAGCGCCACCGTTAAGGCGAATCAAGTAAACGAAGACGCGAGGGTGGTCGCGGTCTGCAGGGAGATCGAGGCCAAGGCCATAGAGGCCGAGGCACAAGCGCAGGCTGCTGCAGCGGCAGCGGGCGAATTCGAGCAGGACGATCGCCCCGAGGACGAGGCGGAGCCCGAGCCGGCAGAATCCGACCAGGCCGCGGCAGGCAATCCCGAGCAAGACAATCAAACCGACGGCACCCTCGAGAAGGCCGAGCCGGCCGATGAAGATCAATCCGAGGGCGTGGAGGCCGAGCCGGCCGATGAAGATCAATCCGAGGGCGTGCATCCCGAAGTGGAGGCCGAGCCGGCCGATGGCGATCAATCCGCGGACATGTGTCCCGAGGTGGAGGCCGAGATGGAGGATGCAACATCCGACCAGGCCGCGGCAGGCAAGCCCGAGCAGCACGATCAACCCCCCGACGGCGAGCATCTCGAGGCGAAGGCCGAGCCAGCCGATGCAGCGTCAGCGAAGGCCCAGCTGGCCGCACCAGTCGATCTTTGCGTTCAGGCTGAGCAGGAGCAGGATCCTGACGAGGATCAGTTCGATCATGATGGTTAAGGACGCTCAACTACTTACCAGGGTGGAGCAGAGACGAATGTATCGATTCGAAATGGAATCCCGGAAGTCCGAGAAGATATACCCGGAACTCTCACCCCTCCCCCATCCTCATTCTCCTCCTCCTGAGCTTGTCCTTCTGCGCCCTGCTCCTCCTCCAGTTCCTCTCCCTCCTGCTGCTGCTCCTCCTCCTCCTCCCCCTCCTCCTCCTCCTCCTTCCCCTCCCCATCCTCTCCCGCCTCCTCCTCCTCCTCCTCCTCCTCCTCCCCCATCCTTCTCCTCCTCATCCTTCCCTCCGGGCGCGGGCGCGGGCTCTGTCTGCGAGACGCCGCCCCTGCGCGGCGACTCCGTCCTCTCGGCGCGGGCGAGGGCGCGAGTTGGAGAGGGGGCACGAAGAGGGAGAGGAGGAGGAAGAGGAGGATGTGGTCGAGGAGAAGGATGAGGAGGAGGAGCCACCTATTTCGAAAACGTCGTCGTCCGTCTTCCTCCACCTCGGCAGCATCATGATCATCACCATATCAGCATCATAGTCGTGATTATCTTGACCGTCTTCGGACGTGTCGCCGCCATCGTCGTCATCTTCAGCACCGCCATAAACGTCCTCCGCCCCATCCTTGGGAAAAGAACTGATGGGGGGGAGTCAGAGAGGTAGGGTGAGTAGGGGCCGAGAGGTGGAGGAGGATGAAGAGGATCCCCGAAACAGGAGGAGGAGGGAGACGAGGAGCAACAGCAGCAGGAGTAGCAGGTAGCGGCAAGCTGTCCTTGCCCCCCGCCGCCAGCCGCGAGCCCGCGCGCTTGCCTAGGCGCCGCCAGGGGAGGGGGGGGGGGGAAGGGAGCGAGAAGAATCATGTTTTTTCCTCCGAGTCTCCACTGGCTGGCTGTCAAACTTTCCCATTATTCCCGTCCCTCCGCCCCTCCTGCTTGACCCGCCCTCCCACCCTGCCCATCCCTGCCCCTCCTGCTCATGTGTACTTCCCCCTCCCCTCCAAACCTTCGATTTTTCCTCCCCTGTCCCTCTTGCCCACCCCCCCGGTCCCCCTCCACTGGGTCTTACCTAGGCGCCCGTAGGCTCAGTGGCCTGGCTCGGGGCCGGATCGGGCTGCTGACTAGACTGGCCACGGCTCGCGTCGGGCTGGCCGTCGCTCGTGTCGGGCTGGGGGCTAGGCTGGCGATCAATCTCACTGTCGGAACTCTCAGTGCCGGGGTGTTCTTGCAGAATACGCTCATAATCCATGCGATGAAGTAAACGTTCTTCAGGATGTGCCTCCTGGGGGCCAGGGGGCGAGAAGGGCGCGTGGTGGGAGGGGGGGTGGGATGAATAGGAAGGAGGGGGGGGGCAGGGAAGGCACGGCTTTCGCGTGCATCTAATCTCCATGTAAGCTGCCAGGCTCGCGGCGTAGTTGAATGATGTTGGGGTCCCCGTTGGACCAGTCGGATGCACAATCCATTCGCGAACCCTTGGGGCCTCCGAGAACATAGCCTTGGCCTTGGCCTTCGGGGCGATGGTGGGCGAGACGCCGGGGTCGCGGCGACCAGCGGGCCCAGGGGACCTCAGGATCACCCCGAACCGTTTAACGCTGCGCAAGAGGCAGGCCAGATTGCGCCCGCCGCCTCCCCTCGGAGAAGAGTCGGGCGCATTCTGGACCCACCCCCCTCATCGGGCGTTTGTTTTTTCGCGTTGGGCCCAGGGAACTCGCCGAGCCCCATTGCTTGCATCGTGTTGGCGCGAGCCGTCGCCCGAGCCTTTGCGCGGACATTCTCCAGCACTTCTTGGTCTGTGAGTTTGTGCTCATTCGCGGCCATCCCCGCAAGATCGTTTCGTATTCTCGGAGGTTTCTGGAGAACCACTGGGCCGAAATGCAGAGCGGGGAAGGCTTGCCTCCGCGTCCTCATCTTCTTCTTCCCCCTCACCCTCCTCGCCCTCCTCCTCCTCGCCCTCCTCGCCCTCCTCGCCCTCCTCACCCTCCCAAGAGCCTGTTCATTATCAAGCTGGGGTGTCAACCTCTGCTCCTCCCGGGCCGACCCGCCCCCGCGTCCTCGGACCAGGCCGAATTTGTCGACAACCCTGAAGACGGTGAGCAAACAGTTAGACAGTTTGTGTGCCCATCCACACCACACCCCACATTGCCAATGGAACAAGGAATATCAGAACCGTGCGCTCTCTACGCCCGCCAGGGTGCCTGCAAGAAGCAAACTATCACGGGTGGGCCATCGGTGAAAAGGCAAGGCTTGCCCGTCGCGACGAACAAGTTGAAGTGCAAATGAAGGCCTCCAGCATGTCGGAGAGCGGTATGCAATAATAATTATGGGATGCCCACATTGATCAACAAACGCCAATACGTTGTGGCCACCAGAGACAGGGGAAGCAGAAGCGACGAGTTTGTACCATCACGGCATAGTGGGCCTTGAGCTCCGACCATGCGAGGGCAGCGTGCTGGGGGGTCGACGATCTTAGCGTACAGCCACATGATCCCCGTGTTGATGGACACGTGCGGTTGCAGAGAGTCCATGGCGATGCCATTGGGCAGCCTATCGCGCAGCGCGGCTACACCTCCAAGTCGAAGACATTCTTCTAGCAGTTGCATCTCTCGATGCTCCAACGCATATGCGTAGTAGTCTTTGTGCTCGCCGCTCCACCCATTGAGACTGCGCTGCTCACGGGGGCGACGTACAATGGACAACGGGCGGCTTATCGGTACACCAGGAGAAGAAAGCACTGCCAAAGCCAAGCCCATCGCGAGGCTGCCATCCCACTCTGCCAAGAATATGATACGCATTCTCTGCTTGTGAGCCGCGGACACCAATGTTACCAGGTCCAGGACTCCGTTGTTCTGAACGTAGTCGCGGGGGTCCATTGGTCCTCCCAGTTGAGCCCGAGCAATAAGATCGCGACCGCCGCCGAGAATCACTAAACTCGAATCTGGGGGGTGGTTGCACTGTTTCGCGCTATAGTTCGGCACCTGGCCCACTCGGGTTACCATGGATGTAGTCCCGCCAAAATGGATGTGATCAAAGGAGCGGCACATAGCGATCGCAGTGACATCTGGGATTTGAGCAACGACCGCCTCGAAGGCACAGGCGTCATATATACTCCTGCGCACACTGGCGTCGGGGTTAAAACCAGCGTATAGACCGATCAAGCGATTCAAATAATCCTTGCTATTGTCTGGCGGGCACAGGCATGAGAAGACCACCGGCGCCGGCTCATCAGTCAAGTCGCTCTGCAGGAACAAATTGAAGATGTCCAGGTTCCGCACTTGCACTCCCAACCGAGCCAGGCTTGGGCCATGATGACGCTGAAGCACCTCGGTCTCGATGTCGGAGACTACCCAGTTCGAAAGAGCATTGTTCTCCTCCGTCGGGCTTGACGGGCTAGGTGGCCCGGGTGGCCCCTTCCCCTGCTCGTCCACTTGCATGAAGGCGGCTGGCGGCCCCGCGCCCTTGGGGGCTGGTGCACCGGTTGCCGCGCTGCTGAGCCACATGAGGATGAAAGGAGAGGCGATGGCATTTGCACGTCGATTTCCAATGCATACGCAGATGTTAAACTCATTTAGGTTTGTCCTTCTCCCTCCTACTCCGCCTCCTCCCCCTCCTCATTCTCCTCCTTCTCATCTTTCTCCTCCCCCTCCTCTTCCTTCACTTCCCCCAGTTCCTCCTCCTCCTCCCCCCCCCATTCACCGCCCCCCCTTCTTCTCATTCACCGCCTTCCTCGCCCTCCCTACTGGTCACGGCGGTTTCTCGCCCCGCGGGCGCCCCGCCGGATGGTCGGCGGCTTGCGCACCGAAGGTTTCCTGCCCCCTCTTTAATTTCGCCACTTGCAAGTGCATGGAGAGAGGGATAGAGGGAGGAGGGAGGGAGATGGGAGGAGGAAGAGGATGAGGAGGAATGAAAGGAAGAGCAGGCAGAGGGGGAGGAGCAGGGGGGGGAGGACGGAGGAGGAGGAGGAAGAGGGGAGGGAGGGCAAAACAGATCCACGGCGCGCGGATCACGGAAGCGTGAAGTTGTAACTTCGCAACCATGTGCTGTATAGCGCAGAGCAGAACAGCGGTGTGTATTCGGCCGTCTGGGGAAGGTTCTTGCCGCCCGTGACCCTCTTGATGCCGTCTGAATCTTCCCACATCTGCATTCGGTCAGGATCATCGTGTTTCTCGTGGTCAATGGGTTTCTCCCTGGCCATGCGGCTAAGCGTCGGCAGGTTTCCGAAGAGATGGCTCGCCTTGAGCAGCACGTGACCAAATGCTCCCATATATGTGAAAACTCGCTCCGCCTTGGTAATGTCCATCAGTTCTTGTGCTTCTGGAAGTTTCATCATCCAACTTGATTTCGGTTGTTCGATGACCCAGTAGACTTTCCGGTTCCACATATGCATCAACTTCAGGATGAACATGAAATTCAGCGCGATGCGGTTCGCAAGCCTCGGATGGACAGCACATCGCGCTCTGGCCGCCCCCCCCCCCCCCCCCCCCCCCCCCCCCCCTCCCCCCCCCCCCCCCCCCCCCCCCCCCCCCCCCCCCTCGAGACCGCAAAGGGGGTCGGCCAGGAGCCTTCGTGCATCCCAGCCAGGAGGGGGAGCGGCAGCAGGGACGAGGAGGAGGAGCGGGAGGAGGGGAGGGAAGAGGAGGAGAGGAGGAGGAGGAGGAGGAGGGAAACGAGGGGGGGCAGGAGGAAGAGGAAGGGAAGGAAGTGGATGAGAGTCAGGAGGGGTTGTGGCGGCGGGGAGAGCGGACGACGAAGGCGGCGGCGAGGCAGGGGTCGCGCTCGATACGAGAGGAGGCGGTGGAGGAGAAGAAGGGGAAGGAATGGGGGGCGGGAGGAGAAGGAGAATGAGGAGGAGGAGAGTGAGGATGAGGAGGAGGAGGGGAAGGAGGAGGAGGAGGAGGCGGAGGGAGGCGGAGGAGGAGGAGAAGGAGGAGGAGGAGGAGGAGGAGAAGGAGGAGCAGAGGGAGGGGGGGGAGGAGGAGGAGGAGGAGGAGGAGGAGGAGGAGGAGGAGTGGGACGAGAAGGCGGAGGAGGAGGAAGAGGCGGGGGAGGTTGTAGGAAAAGGAGGAACTGGAGGAGGGGCCAGCGGCCAGCGGAGGAATGATTCCTCACAAAGCTCCGGGTGCCTGACATTGTAATTGGACTCGTCCCCGTACTCGTAGCCGTCGGCCCGCATGTGTACCGAAGATGAAAGAAATGTAAAGAGCGAACATGGAGGGCCACCAACAATCAGACCGCCAACAGGAACCATCAAGCAATACATTAGTAACACGAAAAAACCATCTCTCGAAACGATGTCATGCGCCGGGTTGCACTTGATGTCGTAAGCGATGCCCGTCTCGCCTCGCTTTTTCCAAGTCTTCTGGATGGTCTTCGATGCGCCGAAGGCGTCGACCACCATGTACGGCCGTTTCAGACGGCGCCTGATAAAATCCTGAAGTCAGAATTCTCAAGTTAGGGAGGAGGGGGGAGGGAGGAGGAGGAGAAGGACAGAGAGGACGCGGAGGAGGAGGAGGAGGAGGGAAGAGGGAGGAAGAGGAATTGGGATGGGGTTGCAGAGGAGGGAGGAGAGCAGGAGGACGAGGAGAAGGAGGAAGGATGAGGAGCAGAGGGGGGAGGAGGAGGAGGAGGAGGAGGAGGAGGAGGAGGAGGAGGAGGAGAAGGAGGAGGTGGAAGAGGAGTAGGAGCAGAAGAAGGAGAAGGAGTAGGTGGAGGAGGAAGAGAAGGAGGAGGAGGACGAGGAGGACAAGGAGGGTGGGCAGCAGCAGGAGACGCAGAATCGGGGAGGAGGAGGAGGACGACGACGACGCCCGCCGCCCCCAAGGATTTTTCCCGTGGCAGTCCTTTATATAAGCGTTGCAGCTGCGCAGGTGCTTCTCAGCCTCGAACCATTCGTTTTGATCTGTGGTGGTAGTCGTATCCATGTCGATATGCGGCTTCTTATTCGATTCATGATAGCGGGCGCTGGTGCTGGAAGCTGGCCGCTTCATAGCGGCCGAGGGGGAACGGGTCGGGGCCGGCGCATGCAGATTTGAGATCAAAGGGGGGGGGGAGGAGGATGCAGAAGAGGGGGCAGAGGTGGAGGGGGAGGAGGGAACAGACGATTGGGAGGGGAGCAGGACTTCAGATTGCCCCCCACCTCCGCGTGCACCCCACAAGGCCTGCCCGCTGCGATGTCGCCATTGCCACCCGGCTAATTGCGACGGGAGGCCGCAGCCCTGCTCCCCTTCCTCCTTCTCGACTCCTCCATCTCCTCCTCCATCTCCTCCTCCTCCTCCTCCTCCTTATCCTCCTCCTCGTCCTCCTACTCATCCTCGTCCTCATCCTCTGCCTCCCCCTCCTCCTCCTCCTCCTCCTCCTCCTCCTCCTCCTCCTCCTTCTCCTCCTCCTCCCTCTTCCTCCTCCTACTCCTCGTCCTCTCCTTCTTCCTCTTCCTCTGCATCCCCATCCCATTCTCCTCCCTCCCGCAACCTCTTCCCCTTCCTCCTCCGATGGTCGTCGTCCTCCTCCTCCTCCTCTGACTCCTCCCCCCCCCCTCTTCCTCTCCAACGCATCCTCCTCCTCCTCGTCATCCTCGCCCCCCCTCCCATTCTCCTCCTCGTCATCGTTTGTCGGCATTGGCAATCAGAAGCCGGCAGTCGCGGGCCCTCAGATGTCTTTCGGGTTGCAGTGCCCGTCCACTTCTAGCCCCTACTCCCTCCTGCAACTCGCCCTCATCCTCCATGCCCCTCTGCTACGCACATCCTTCTCGTGATCATCATCCGTTTCCTCCCCCCTCCTCTCTGGTCTTGCCCCTCTCTTCCTCGTGACCCCCCTCGTCCGCATTTCCCTCATCATCCTCCTCAGCCCCCCACTCCGCTTCCCCGCCCTTTACTTCATCCTTCTCCTCCTCCTCCTCCTGCTTCTCCTTGAGAGAGCAGCGGATCGCGCCTCCCTCAGTGGCTGCTGCCCACGGCGCCCAACCACCAGCAGCCGTCCTCGCGACCCGACGGGGAAGGGGCGGCGGCGCGGCAGGGAGACCAGAGATGATGTAAGGGGAGGAGGAGGAGGAGCAGGAGGAGAAGAGAGTGGACGAGGGTCGGGAGGAGGAGGAGACAGACCAGGAGGACGAGGACGAGGAAGAGGAAGGAGGAGCAGGAGAGGAAAATACAATGGACGGGGAGGCGAGAGGAAAAAAGGGGAAGCATATGGAGGAGCAGGAGTAGGAAGAGGGAGGAGGAGGAGGAGGAGGAGATGGAGCAGGAGAAGGAGGAGATGGGAGGAGTATGAATGATGATGGTTGCATTTTCCAACGCTCTGCTGATCAAGACGATGCAAAATACGTCTCTTCTGCTACGAGAGGCAACAAACGTGCTCGCACAAATGCCCTTTCTTCCCAACGATGACGGGTGGACGCTACCGCCATTGCTGCCAGCATTTTGTTCAAGCTCTCATCCAGGAATGTACTGTGCTGCCGTGGATTTCCTAAATCCTTAGATCTGAGTGTCATGTGGATCCACAAGTGGTGTTTGGGGATCCTTGGCACCCCAGCAGCAGACATGAGTTTCACATGGTGAATGCTCAGGTCGAGAAGCCGCTGGCACACCCTAAACGGCAGAACAGCAGGCGACGCTCGCAGCAGTGAGACATACCTTAAAAGAACTTCGCCTGCTTTGCGGAGCTCCTCTGCTCCCTCTATAGCTGCATGCGTCGAGCACATGTGAATGGCAAAAGGCAAAAGCATCATGGATTCACCAGCCTTGAGTTTCATGCTCAGATGTCCAGCTTTTCCCATCTGCCCGGGAGTCAGGTCATTCAGCTGATCTGCTGCGGCAGCGCCGTTTGCATCACAGAAGGTGTCGATGTCCGCCTTTAAGTTTTTCACGAGGGCATCGATGTGGTCATCTGCGCCCCACACATTGGCGCGGATTGCCCGCCAGCACACCACAGAGATGCATCGCAGCACGACGCCCAAGTGGATCGTGTGAAGCGTGTCCAGGGCCAATAGGGAGACGGGGCCTGTAATCACACCACAAAAAATTGGATTTCGGTGATTGCATTTGTCTATGCATTTCTTAAGGTGCATCGTTCTCCGCCAGAACACCACTACGAACGGCAAGGGCTTTGTGTCGAACTTCGCGATGTCCATCAGTTGTTTGCTGGGTTCGAGCCGGTCCATAGGTTCGAGCCCCAACGCGGGGATGCCATTCTTCAAAACCCTACCCCTGCCTGCTTGCGCGCTCTTGCGCTTGTCATAGAACAAGCCTCCGTCGATCAAGATGGCCTGCCTGATGTTCTCCGTGTTGACGTTCACCGTCCTCTCACACTTGTCGCAGGCCTTCTCGTAAAAGTCATCATTCCGCAAGCCCCATGAACATCGATCGAACGACACCTCGTCGATCTCATGCATCTCTTCGAGAGAGCAGTCGCACAGGATGCATGGAGACGAACGCGACGACCACGATGGAAAGCCGAGGGTGTGGACAAACTCCGCCCAATCCCCTTTCAGCTGCACTGGCGCAAACCGCGCGCCCAATGCAGGACTTGCAAATGCCCTCTCACCGTCCAAGTTGCCCGCAGGCCAAGGGCTGCCATCATGCCTCTCGAGGCTACGAATACCACTTATGCATTGCTCTAAGCACCAAGCCACAAATTGCATTGCTGGAAATAGCGTGCACCAGCCACCGCAGCCACATCGACATTTCTCTGATGTCTTGATCAGGACCACCACGTGTCTTTTGCCCGTCAACAAATTGTACACACGTATGTTCAGGAGCGTGTCCACGTGCCCTGGGGCGATGCTCTTGGTGTATCGCACGCCGTCGAGGTAGATCGCAATTGGAAAGCACGGTACGCCGTCGACTTGAGAGGCTTGGTAACTTGGGTGACGAGAAAATGTTTGCTTCCATTCCGCTCTCAGGTCGGCAGGATCTGGGGGCATCAGGGCGTCGCTCAACACTTCGGACATCAGGAGCTCATGTATCAAACCCATTGGGATTGCCCTACACGCACGGCCTGTTTTCTTCCGGTAGATCGGGACAGGCACATCATACAAGTGCTTCTCTGGGTCTATGTCAAGCGCCTCGTGCAAGTGGCGCGTGTACTTACCTGATTGCAAGCCAGGCGCCAAACCATATTTCTGCACTGGCCCACAGGAGCCAGCATTCGAGGCATGGTGGCACCCCGTGCACACCGCGACTGCCGGGAGGACCCCTTCAGCGTATTGTTTAAGGAACCAGTCGGCCAATTTCTGTCCAGCTTCGCCGCGAGCAGTGGTGGCTTGTGCTTCAACCGCAGGGTTATCCCATGGCTCGGCTACCTCTGTGAACCGCCCGCGCCGCCGCCTCCTCTTCACAGGAGGTGGCATCCAAAGACTACATTCGGCTTGAGCCCAAATGGCTACGGATGCAAGCAACTGCGTATACGATGTAGCGATTGGTTTCTCTGGGGCAGTCTGACCAGGGTCGGGGTATTTCGGGTGCGTTTTTTTGGGGCGGGGCCACGCGGGAGGCCCCGCGGGTCGGGGCTTTAGCAGGAGAGGTGGCCCGAGGACAGAGAGAAGAGCAGCTGGGAGGGAACGACAGAGTGAGGTATGGGGCGGGCCATGGGTGCAGGCGTCTCCGCTCTGATTCTTGATACCTCTCAGGCATTGGCGCCGCGCCCCCTGGCCCTCTTGGCGAGCTGGTGGCGGGGCCCAGTGTGCCTGAACACGGCGGGGGCATTGCGCATCGGGCAAGTAGGGCATAGCAATGGCGCCCCAATGGGGCTGATTGGGGTTCCACGGACGCCGGTGCAAATCAATGCAATTCAATGCAAGTGCGACCCAGTGCAACCGCAAATGCAAGTGCGAACGCCAGTGCAAAGCAGTGCGAGCTTCAATGCAAAATGCTGATGCAAAGCAATGCAGAATCAATGCAAAACCAATGCGGAAGTCAATGCAAACCAATGCGGAAAGCAGCGCAAATCAATGCGGAAGCCAATGCAAAATCAATGCGAAAGTCAATGCGAAAGCCAAAGCACAGCAATGTGAAAGTCAGTGCAAATCAGTGCAGAAATCAGAACAAAAACAATGCGAAAGTCAGTGCGGAAGCCAAAGCAAAGCAATGTGAAAATCAATGCAAATCAGTGCGGAAATCAGTGCAAATCAATGCGGAAATCAATGCGAAACCGATGCGAACGTCAATGCGAAAGCCAAAGCAAAGCAATGTGAAAATCAGTGCAAATCAGTGCAATGCAAATCAGTGGAAATCAGTGCGAAACCGATGCGAACGTCAATGCGAAAGCCAAAGCAAAGCAATGTGAAAATCAGTGCAAATCAGTGCGGAAGTCAGTGCGAAAATCAGTGCGGAAGTGTCAGTGCGAAAATCAATGCCATCAGCGCCGGCAGCCGATTCGGGGATTGCTCGTCTCATTGGGTTATGT